ACTTCGGCGATTCCGGATTATCGATTTTTCTGTATTATAGATCATCAGTTTAAATCTGGTAAGATGGCATGCAGAAATTCTAAAATTAAAAATATGAAACCGTAATTTATGAAATAAAGAACAATTATGATCTAAAAGGTATCAAAATTTACAAAAAAAAAAAAAAAAGCTTAATATTTATTTGTTTACTTTATTAAACATTTCTTTCAATGTAAGTTGTTTAAGTTTTGCTTCGTTTCATGTGATAATACTTTCTCTTTAATTCTATTAAAAAGACGGAGTACATCGAGATGAAATATTACATGTAGTAAGTAATTATAAGCCAAATAAAATAAAAACATCTGCCCTGAAGATAAGGATTGTGCTGACAGATCAACTTCCAATTCAATGCGCCTCGTGGCGTTAACCCCCCCCCCCCCCGGCTGCAGAGCAGCGTGAAATTGATAAACAGATTTCGGAATGGTTAGAGAAACAAAGGATATGCATTTATCCATTTTTTGCAGCAGTTCCACTTTTTGTTTAATGGTGGATTAATGGTTACATACTTTCGCTTTGTAGATCCTATACATATTACTAAATATTTATCGGAAATTCTATTTGACATAATCGAAAGTTCAAGCTTACTTTTATAAAATTGCTCTAACAGTCTGCAAAAAATAATAAGCTGGTTCCAATTCGAAGATTAAGGAACAATGCAGTCTGCAACATTAACTGAATTAGATCATTTTAGCTTAGCTTATACCGTCCGTTATACGTTAAACGCGCACACGCATATTCGCAGCCGTAAAGGTCTTGCGCGCGTAGCTTTGAGGTCCGGATTATAGATCATTCCGGATTATGGGTGTCCGAATTAACGACTTTTGACTGTATATGTGCTATAATAAAAGCAAGAAAATGGAGCACTGTTGATGCGTACGTATATGCATATTGAAGAGGAAGAGTTTTGATTGCGTATCAAGCTAATATGTTGACTTTGTAATATCTAAAGAACTTGGCAGTCGAGGCAGTTTTAATTCTATTTTTATTTGCCTATTAACATCTGTGGCCACAGTTCACTTGGCATTCTAGTCATGCCTATTCAAGAAAATTTACATGTTTTGTATTTTTGCAATAGGAAGCCAAGACCATCGAAATTACATCCTAGCAGAGAGTGAAGCTGAAGTGCATAGTTATGCAAGATGGAAGCACATGAAGAGAAAAGTTTTGGTTTGAGTTAACAAGTTTTAGTTTCCAATTATCACATGCCATGTAAAATAGAATGATCTAGAAATGACACAATCCTGAGAAGTTATTACGATTTTTAGAACAGAGAGGGAGAATTAAAGTTTTATCCTTAGTTTAAATTATAATTTTGATTCACATATTTTTTATCTTGCGATAAATACGATGACTATGTTAAGAAATAATTGGCAACCTTAAAATTGACTATTCGAAAGTATATGTTCTTCCCCTAAGTTCATCTTTTCTCCCAAATTACATAGCTCTGCTTGAAAAAGGGTAACTAAAACTAATATTAACCAATCATGCCTTAGCTTTACATTTGCACCTACATTGTATAAATACTGCTTCGAGCAATTGTGCCTTGCTTTTTTTCAAAAAAGAATCCACTAGGATGAATCTCTGCTGCTAATCCAGTGGCTAAAGTACCTTAAAAGAGAAATGATGTCAGCGAAATGTGTTGATTCTAGAATCAAGAGTTATAGTCTTCTCTTGATTAAAAAGGGTTAAGAATTAATCTAGCATAATGAAAGTAAATTAACGTGTATGAAGATTCTGAGTTTATTTCAGCAATGCTATCTGGTGATTATTGAGGTCATTGTTCTTTCTGTGGGTAATTTACTGTTGCATCTGTTCCATCGTGTTATTTGTGCATCAGTGATTTCCATTAAAAGTTAGTTCAAGGTTGCTTTTCTTGTCCAAGCCGAATTGAAAAATTGGAATGATTTTTCTTACACGATTTATTCATTGATCTCTGATTTCTAAGTTGTGATATGGATTTTTTTTCAAAAAAGGTTTTATTTAGTGCAACTAAAAATACCATATTGAAATTGCTGATTGTTATTATTATATTGAAAATCTGAATACATAATGCTGTTTCTTCTTGTATTGGATTAAAAGCATAGTATTGTTTTATGAAAAATTGTATTAGAAATTCAAATTCTAATAATTTAGTAAAGTAGGTAAAGAATTGTTAGGTATTTAATTATTTTTAGGGAAGGCTGTTAAAATAAATAATTATATTGAATTTCTGTTGAAAATTTTGAATAAAAATTTTATAATTATTCTAAAATGAAGTGGATTTAAAAAACAAGTGAAATAAGTACAAATAAGTAGTCTGAAATTATGGTAAATGCATATTAAAATTTATGGGTGACTGTATATTGAGGGAGTACTGGCTCCGAAACGAAAGCCTGTTATTACCTCTGTACAGTTGTTCCTTTTTCCCTCTTCATATAAGTTATAGTTGAAGGCTCTCATTTTATGTGTGTAATTTTTTATATATTATTATACTTTTTTTAAATTATGGAATGTATTAGTGCAGTTCACAAAGGCCACCTTATGCAAGGAATGGAGGCCTTTGCAAGTAACTGCCTATTCTACATAGCACAAAAACATCCTCGGGCTGTCTTCAGGACATCCTAGCTACAATAGACAATAGAAAGAACCTATCAACAGCATATAGGTTTTTTCTATTGTCTATTGTAGCACAGCATATGGGATGTTGTCAGGATCTGAAATCCTACTTACTATATCCTCAGAACATCTTGGGATAGCCCACTAACATCCTAAACACATCCCATAGATCCTCAGAACATCCTATCTAGGTCCCATCGACAGCATAGGGGATATTGTTATGATTTAAATTCTACTTACTACATCCTCAGGACATCCAGTAATATCCCAGTTTCCTCCTAAATTCATCTTCCCAAGTGATTAATGTTACATCCCAGTATATCCTATACAGTCAAAAGTCTTTAATCCGGACTCGTCGGGACTTCGGCGATTCCGGATTATCGATTTTTCCGGATTATAGATCATCAGTTTAAATCTGGTAAGATGGCATGCAGAAATTATAAAATTAAAAATATGAAACCTTAATTTATAAAATAATGAGCAATTATAATCTAAAGGGTATCCAAATTTACCAAAAAAGAAGCCTAATATTTATTTGTTTACTTTATTAAACATTTCTTTTAACGCGTGGATGCGTAAAGCATACCTTACTCATAGCCGAAATTAGAAAATTGCAACCAGAAAACTATGTGATTTGTATTCGGGATATTTATAATGATGAGGAATTTGATTTAAATCATATCAAAGACGGAGTACATCGAAATTAAATACTACATTTAGTAAGGAATTATAAGCCGACTAAAATAAATACATCTGCCCTGAAGATAACGATAGTGTTGACAGATCAAATTCCAGTTCATTGCGCGACGCCGCGACGTGCACCCCCCGCGCAGAGCAGCGTGAAATTGATAAACAGATTTCGGAACGGTTAGATAGACAAAGGATATGCTTTTATCCATTTTTTGTAGCAATTCGTTTTTTGTTTGATGGACATCAAAACATACTTTCGTTTTCTAGATCCTTTGGGAGCTCCAGCATCGAAAATTCTATTTGACATAATCGAAAGTTCAAGCTTACTTTTAGAAAATTGCTCTTACAGTCTGCAAAAAATAATAAGCCGGATCCAATTTGAAGATTAAGGAACAACGCAATTATCAACATTAACTGAAATAGATAATTAGATAATTTTAGCTTTTACCGTCCGTTATACATTAAACGCGCACGCGAAAACGTATTCTGCACTTGCGCAGATGCATATGCGCAGTCGTAAATGTCTTGCGCGCACAAGTAAAACGCCTATGCGCATGCGTCAATGCGGCGCATGCGCAGAAAGATTTTAGCTTTGAGGTCCGGATTATAGATCATTCCGGATTACGGGTGTCCGAATTAACGACTATTGACTGTATAACAAAAACATTTATACTGTTAATATTCGAATTTGCTTTTTGATTTTAACAAATTTGTATGCTAGTAAATACAATGTAGTAGTAATACCAACAATTAGGTAGTAGGAATACCAACAATTTTTATAATAATCTGACCATTAACCCATTCAGGATTATGACCACATAATACGTGATCACGCGATTTTGCCCTCATGTTCCAAGGTATCATATATGTGGCCACCCTTTTTGTGTCTCGAGACCTGTGATCACAGCAGTATGATATCAAATTGGAACTTTTTATTTAAGTTTTAAGCAATAGATGATGGTTCAAGTCCATTATATTTTTAAATAATGGTCCACAGAGCTTTGACTGTAATATCTCTCCTTTTTTGGGGGACGGATCAGGGGAATTTGAACATGTAAACAACCACACAAAGGGCTGTGTTTTATTGTGGATTTGTTTATATTTTGCAGGAGAAGTTATCTTGCTCTATTCTTCAAATGTTTCATAGTAGTTATATTATTTATTAGTTGTGCTTGTTCTTCTATTCATTGTCCTATCCAGAAACTTTTTAGTTTAGTTTTCTGACATTAATCCTTCTTCCTTCATGAAAAATTGATGTATTATTTGGAGAAGGAATTCAGTTGTATCTCTGAAACTGGATAGACTATTTCATTTGGATATTCTAAGTATGCTTCTTAGTTTGTTAGAAATGGTACTTTTTGTGATTGATAAAATTTGTCTTTATAAATATAACTAATAACCTTTTGAATTAAATTTTAGCCTCTCTTTCTTTTAAATAGTAATATTTGAAAAATGAAATTTAATGTATTATATCTGTGTATATATATATATATATATATATTAATTTAATGTATTAATGAATAGTATTAAAATAGTAATATTTGAATAATCATTTAAATAGTAATTGAATTTTTGTGTAAAAATATGAGATGCTCATAATGTGGAAGAATTGTGCCCCAGTGAATTCTTTCTATTGTTACCTCATGATTTAAAAATTATCACTTTATAACTTTCAGTTGTGGGGCGGATGGTCGGCCATTATACCTGTCAGTCACCGAATCGATTTCCAGTCAATAAAACAGAAGTGTGTATGTATACTTTTTTAATGGATTTAATCTGTTTTACTTGAATTAGATTTAATTTTAAATTTCTGAAAAAAATGTCTTCTCTGATATAAAATGTGGAAAAATTTGATGTATTTTTTAAACCTTTTTTGTATTTCAGGAGAATTTTTTATACCGAAGTACCAATTTTTAATTTTCTTTTTTTCTTTTTTTTTATAGTTAAAATTCTTGAAATTTATTGTAAATAGATGTTTATTATAATGTTAACTATTTTAATTTTTAATAGAATTATGGTATGATTTCACCTTTTTTTTAATATAGTTGCAAATTTGCATTTTTTTAAATTTATGACGTAAATATGTATTGAAGAGTTGTTTAAATTTTATGTAAGGTTTTTTTAAATACCTTTAAATTAGATTTTCTACTCATATGACATATTTAATATTTGAATTAATCTGATAACCAGGTTAACTCAGTTACAAGAGCTAAGATAATGGTGTGAATTTTTTATACTTTCTGTGAATTGTCAGTATGTTGTATAAAATCAACGTAATACTTTTTAATGTTAAATGTTTTATATTTGGGTAATATAAGATTTTTTAAAAAATATCTAAAATTATAAAGTTGCTTGTGTAGTTATTTGACGTGTCAGTCTGTTTATAAGTGGAATGAACAGATTTTTTTCTATGAAACAGTAATTTAATTTATGCAAACACAATATAAGGTATTTCTCCTGCCTTCTTAGCGTGCCTTTATGGTGTGGTGGTCTCTGCACACTGGGCCGGTATTCCAGAGGTCCGTGGTTCAATTCCTGGCGAAGGTGATTGCTCATTTTTCATCTTGCCTGCTTCCAAATTACCTAATATCTCTACAGTGGGGCTCAAACTAAAAGGGTGTTTGATGATGATTTTCCTCACCTAGGATTTGGCAATTGGGCAGAGTCGTAGCAAGGGTTTTCAGCACCCAGGGACAACTGAAGATTTCGCGCCCCTACTTCTTGCCAAGGATGGAAAACATTTAATTCTAAAATGTCGTAACATCAGTTTAGCGCCCCTTGGCTTCTGCGCCCGGGGACAGATGCCCCCCCTTGCCCCCCTCTAGCTACGCCCCCGCAATTGGGTCCTCTAAAAACCCTATTCGCCCTTTAAAAGGGGGAGTATATAAGGTATTTCTCCTGCCTTCATGGTGTTGTAGTCTACACACTGGGCTGGTATTCCAGACGTCCGTGGTTCGATTCCCAGCGAAGGCTTTTGCTCATTTTTCATCTTGCCTGCTTCCAAATTACCTAATGTCTCTACAACAAGAGGTTATTCTGCCTTGCTGTGTATCAGTTTTTAAGAGTACCCAAGGAAATGGAATCCAACAACATACTCTGTTTTTGATCTGCCATCAACCTTTAACCCTGTTTTTTTAATTTAATTTTTTTTTAATTCCTTCTTTAATCCATTATAACTAAATAGTAGAAACAGAAAGTATAAGTAGCAATAAAATTAAATTAGTGAGTGTTTTTCCGAGTCTGTTCAAGTGCCAACTTTTCTACTAAATGGATCTAAATGTTTCAAGCCAAGTGTCATCAAGGATGTGCTTCCTATAGTTTAATAATATTTGGAAATAAAATACATGCTTCCTTATCAAAGCAAGCAGCCATTGCATAGCCTTAAGCAGCATATAAAGTTTGCACACTGTAGGCTGGATAGTTTAAATTTTCTAATTTTGATGACAAAGCACAATGGCCCCTTTTAGCAAGGATGCAAAACGTGCAGTAATCAATTAAGCTATACTTGTTTCCAAGTACAGATTAATTTTGAATGATTTTACAATTAATTCCTCAAATTGATTTTCCTGTAGTTTTTTATTACTATTATTTACAATCATTAATTTTTATTAAAAACGTCAGTACATTAGAAACATCTGATTTTCTGCAGTCCCAATGAAAATCTGCAAATTTTTTTATGACTTTGGAAAGAAATGTTTCTTTGGGTGTCTTTAGAATGCATCCAGTGTGACCTATTTTTTTCGAATAACACATTCAAGGTTTGAACTAAAGATCTGCAAAAGAAGGAGCAAATAAATTCTTCATACATATTTACCGTGCATATTTAAAATTAATTTTAAAAGGTAGTGGAATATTTTAACTGAAATATTTGCAGAGGTTTCACAGTCCATATGTATAATAATAATAGAAGCTCATTAAATGAGTTCTTTTTTCAACCAAAATATGTTATTAATGTAATTAATGTTACAAAATATGACAAATATTAATATTACAAATATTACAAAATATGTTATTAATGTAATAATGTTATTAATGTTAGTGTATTACATTTGTTAAAAATATTATTTGCATATAGTGTAAAAGTTGCTAATAAATATGTCACCATATTGAATTTTTGTTTTGTTTATTTAATCTGAAAACTTGCAGATTATCAGAGTTCTACATTTTCTATGGCTCAGAATTATTCTGGGTATTTCACTGTTTGGTGTTCAAGGATAATTTTTATAAACTGAATTCAAGAAATAGCACATATTATTACAGTCCCATTACTTAAACAGGAATAAGAACTCTTGTTTGATTGATTGTACTGAAACATCAACTCAACTCTAAGGTCTTCTTATGACAAGCAGACTGTAAATAATGGTGGTTAAGATTGCTGGCTGTTTGGCTGTGGTTAGTGAAAAGTTCTGAGCAGCATTGCCACATTGGGGCAGTCCAGTATCAAAAAGGTTTTAGGCAGTTTTAAATAATAGGGGTCATAATAATAATAATAATGAAGTGCCTCCAAAACTACTTGTTTGATTGCTATCATTCTTCTAAACACATCAGACTTTTTAATCAGTTTGTTTCATATTAAGCTAGTAAAATTATTAAACTTCATACCATATACATTTTCTTTACACTCTTGCTTGATTTTTATTTATTTTTTATTAATTTATTTTTATCTTAGCTGATAATAGAAAGTCCACTGTTATAAGTTTAAAAAGGCGTTCTGAGGAAGAGCCTAATGCAAAAAGAATTCGGAGAGTCCCACCTGAAGAAGAAGGTGCCTACAAAATTAAAATGCCTTTAGGTACCACTGAAAGAACACGTAAAATTCTGCAGCAGATGCAGGGTAAATAAACTTTTTTCATATTTGGGAGATCATAACTCATTAATTTTTGAATTATGATTTCTGAGTAATACAATGCAGTAATAATAATTGATAAATCATTTTCAGTTGATGGATACAGTACTGATAATATGGAAGTCTGATTATTGTAGCTTGTTTCACACAAATTTGACATGACTTGTATGTATTAGCTTACCCACTGTGTTCAGTTTTGCTGTTTGTACACACTTGGTATCTGCTTTCTGTATTTGGTGTAGGCTTTTATTATTTTATAAATCAAGGTTACATACCAATAGTGAGGATTGAGATTAAAATAAAAAAACTTCCATCAGAATTAAATGGGACAAAATGACAGCCAATTTTTAGTTACAACAAGCTATTTGAAATATATTAAATTTGCTAAAAGATGCAGGAGGTGATGCAAAAGCTCCTTAAATTAAGAGGAAAAAGGTAAATGCAAAAATAATAAAGATTATTAAAATTTCACTACTTAATTAAGAATTAATGAGATTTTTGGGGCTTATGCTGTGAAATTAAGTATGTGATATCTGGTTCAATTTTAGTAGCAGACTATAGGGATGACAGATGGATGATTTATAAAATTTATGATAACTTATAATAGACCACATGCCCATTATGCTCTAAATCAGGGGTTTCCAAACTTTTTCAGTTGGCAGTGCACTTAACAGGTTTAGTATTTTGTTCATGACACCCTTGTTCAAAGAAGTGTTGTACAAGATTTGTACTTTATAGCCTGCTTTCTATATAGTGTCATAACAAATTACAACACTTCATTAAATATGACTGTATACTGATACTAGTGACCAGACACAGAAATGAAAACACCCACAATCTGAGCCTCATATAGGTATGAATTGAAATGATACACAAGAATATTATATTATCATTATTAAAGAAAAATAGGAAAAATTCATTGGACAGGTGAGCTTGCTAATGTCCACAAAGTTTTTCAAAGTGAGGGATAAGACTTGACACTGCCACCCTCATTTCTTGCTCCCCGTTGATCTTTGAACGATATTTGCTCTTTATTAGAGGTACAGCTGAAAATCCAGTTTCTCATAATTATGATGTTGCAAAAGGAATGAGAATCCTTAAAGTTTTGGTATTTAGAGTTGGATGTTAATTTTTGATGATTAACCAAAACTCCACCAAATCGGAACAAGCAAATTTTGTTTTAAGGTTGTTGTAAGAGAGTTCAATGAGATTCTTTCTTCTTGTGAAGTTAATTCTGAAGGAGCTTGAGCTTAGAAAGGATTTTGGATCCACAAATAATTCTTGATATTTTCTTTCATGAAATATTTTGTGAAGCATTCATTGAGCTTCGAAAGGTGTTCCATGAAAAGAAACAGCAATTTTTGAGAGAGAACGAGCTCATTAGAGAATGCAGATTTATGCAATTTGGGGAGACAATCTTGCCCGCCATCTTCATTAATTTTTCTTATCCACAACTGCGGTTTTCTTGTAAATGCCACAATCTTCTCCAATAGTTTCAAGATGTGCATATTATTGCTTAGTAGAGACAGATTTAAGATATTCAGTTTGTGAAATATATCGCACAAATATGCCACTTTTAGTTAAAAGTCTGGTTCGGGAAGCATTTGTAGTTTGCATGTCCTTCCTCTTGCAGAAAAGTGTAAATATCTTGATGTAGCTTTAGGATTTTAGACATTGAAACTTGGAAAGTTTAGAAAGATTTTAAGGCAAATTTATAGACCCACGATTCTAAAAGATTCCAGAAAAATATGATAAAATGAAAAATATCTCCATGGTAGTAACACGCTGTTTCTTACATTTTGGAGAACATCTGGAAGAACAATGAAAACATAATAGTTGAATGTTTTACTTCTGATTCTAGAATCGCTTTAAATAATTCATTGGCAAGAGGTAGTGGTAACTGTTCCGCCCAGTCTAGCTTAAGCAACCATATGCTCTTACATCAAGTCAGAAATCGTACATACTAATAAAGCAAAAACGAAATAACTTTAGGGTTACACTAAAGCCAAACTCTGCTTGGCGTAAAACAATTCTGCCAAGCAATACTCTTTCAGACACTGAACAGACATTTTTATCTTCCCTTTATTTTCTCTACTTTTCACTAGACACAAGCATGGAAAATATCAAAAGTATTTCTGATCTTATCATATGGACAGGCATTATAGAAAGGAATTTTTTTATTAATAAAGAAATTGAAAACTGACAATTCAAAAGATTCGTCAAATATGTCTTAATGCATCATACACAGAGCTGGTGCTAGACATTTTGCCACCTGACGCAGTCTCTGTGGATCCTAAATTCTGCTGCTTGGTGCATTTCTAAATTCTGCTTCCAGTGCCTGCTCTAAATTCTAAAAGTTTTGCCATTTCTAGATATTGTTGCTCAGTATGTCCCTAAATTCCAAAAATTCTGCCACACCAGCTCTGTCACCAGACTTTACCATATGTATTTCATATTTCTTCTGAATGTTCATATTACTAAAGAAATAAAATTAGCAGCTTTTTCCATACATTCTAAATTCATTTAGTCTTTTAGAATAACAGAAGTCTTTAATTTAATCCCAAAAATTTAAAGTGAAAGGAAACATGTTGAAAAAAGAAACTAAATATGTAAAGAGAAAGAAAATTATTCTTCAAAGATATGTAGTTATTATTATGTAAATTACCCAGTTATTTACAGTTTCAGCCTTTACTATAATTTTTCACATCTATTTCCTCACCAGAATGCAAATCAGACAGTTTTTAAACTGAGGTTTTTGTAGTGTAAGACGAGTATGTTTCTGACCTCCACTTGCTCCCTGAAATAGTTCTGTCAGCTCTGATAATTTGTAATTATTAGTCTTTCCATCACTGCTGCTGGCATTTGAGTTAATTAAAAAACACATAATTATTTTGTTGAGTTTTATGTTTTGTAGCTTTTAATGTGTAATTATCCTAATATTGTTTTAAAATCAATGTCATAAATTGCATGTATTTTAAACTGTGAAATTTTATGAGATTGTGATATTAATAGGGTTTTTTTAACAAATATTATTAAAAATAAATTTAATTTAATAGTGGCTATATAAATCCATAATGACTAAGGTTATCTAATACAGTCAAAAGTCTTTTAATCCGGACTTGTCGGGACTTCAGCGATTCCGGATTATCGATTTTTCCGGATTATAGATCATCAGTTTAAATCTGGTAAGATGGCATGCAGAAATTATAAAAATTAAAAATGAAACCGTAATTAATTTAAAAATAATGAGCAATTATGATCTAAAGGGTATCAAAATTTACAAAAAAAAAAAAAAAAAAAAAAAAAAAAAAAAGAATATTCTTTGTTACTTTATTAACATTACATTAAACATTAAGCATAGCCGAAATTAGAAAATTTCAACCATAAAAACTATTTGATTTGTATTCGTGAATTTATAATGACGAGGATTTCATTTAAATCATATAAAGACGGAGTACATCGTGATGAAATACTACCAGTAGGAATTATAAGCCGAATAAAATAAAAACATCTGCCCTGGAATAACGATAATGCTGAACGATAAGCGAACTTCCAGTCCGTTGCGCGCCCGACGACGTCCCCCCCCACCCACCCGCAGAGCAGCGTGAAATTGATAAACAGATTTCGGAACGGATTAGATAAACAAAGGATATGCCTTTATCCATTTTTTGTAGCAATTCCACTGGACATCGAAACATACTTTCGTTTTCTAGATCCCGCCATCATCAGAATTCTATTTGACATAATCGAAAGTTCAAGCTTACTTTTATAAAATTGCTCTTACAGTCTGCAAAAAAATAATGAGCCAGATCCAATTCGAAGATTAAGGAACAACGCAATCATCAACATTGACTGAAATAGATAATTTTAGCTTATACCGTCCGTTATACATTAAACGCGCACGCGAAAACGTATTCTGCGCTTGCGCAGACGCATATGCGCAGTTGTAAAAGTCTTGTGCGTAAACACCTACGCGCATGCGTCAACGTGGCGCATGCGCAGAAAGATTTTAACTTTCAGGTCCGGATTATAGATCATTCCGGATTATGGGTGTCCGAATTAACGACTTTTGACTGTACCTAATTTAATTATAACTGAATGCATTCTCTTAAAAATTATCTCTCTATATCAGTGTTTCTTAACCTTTCTAGCGAGTCGCACCCCATTGAATCTGAAAATATATCTCCGCATCCCATTGAAAAATATGTTTTAATTTTTTTTAGTCTAGAAAATAAATTTTTTTGTGAAACTTATTGTTTATTGAAAAACATTATACATTTTATATAAATACAAAACAATATTATTTTTATTAATGACTAGTCTGTTGTTGTTTGTTCATTATTATACTGGCGAAGCGAGGTTCCTTTTTTGAAAGACATACGTGTAAGTCTTCACTTGCATTTAAGCGATTTATCGCTTTAGTTTTTATATGCAAAAGCGATGAAAATCCCATTTCGCACAAGTAGGTGGTAGCAAAGGGCAAGAGTAACTGCAGTGCTCTGTTTGCCAACTCTAGATAACGTTGCAACTGTGAACACCAGAATTGTTGCAATTCTAATTGTTCGAATTCCATTTGAACATGTCCACTTGCTCGCATTTCAATAAGTTGATCTTTTTTTGAGATCACTATCATCCATCAAGTTTAAGTCAAATAGAAATAGATCCAGTATCCATCTCTGAGTTTTGGTAATATTTCCGGTAGAAAAATATCCGTTGAATGATTCGCTCAATCGTCTCAAATGTATTACAATGTCAGGTATAATTGTATTCTTTTCATTTTTCGCAATAACAGAATCAAGCAAGGGAAAGTTTGCAAAATTCCCCTTTTCTACTCAACGTATCCAAATTTCTAATTTTGTGATAAATAAAGATAATTTTTCACTAGATATTATTATATTTATACCAAATCCTTGCATTGATGGATTCAATTCATTTAAATGGCTAAACATGTCTACTAAGTAGGCCAGCCTCAGCATTGCATCATTACT